TAGTTCTCCTTTTTTATTTTGCAGGATGACCTCTCAGCTGAATTCTACTTATTTCTTTGAAATCCATGTGGTGCTTATGTTCTTGTCTATGCCTAGTTTTCTGTGCCTCTCCTTCTTCCAGAAAGCTGTTTGTGAATCTTAAATAAAAATGAAAATGCTAATCTGATGCTGGGAATTTAATTTTTTCGTGTAGTCGTGTAAAGCTTCCTAGTATATTACTTACAGGATGGTCTCTGTTAATGTAATGGTTTCAAGTGGTGTGTTGTCACTGATTTGCATTATTTGGCTTTAGTTTATCTGCTGATAGTTCACAGCTTTGCACCCTGTACCAACTTCTTTACTTAAAGCAGCATGAGTGTTTCGGTAGAACTAGTTAGTAATACAGACTAGAAAATCATTCCTCACTAGTATTCTGAGTTAGCATTAGTAACTGAAGTGTGATTCAGAAATTGTGATAAGTTATAAAGGTTGTTTGAGTGATCTGCAAAATGTCAATTATGAAGAGACATGAGATGCAGATAGACCGATCCTAATCGGGACAACTATCTGGTTTTATGCATAGATGTTCTGAGCGATCCTATAACGTCTCGAATTACAGAAAGTTCTCTCCTTCTCCTGTTATTCTGTTTTCTTTCTATTTTGTTCTTTTATCATCTATTGTTGGTTAGTTTGCTGGTTCATGTGTTTATGTAGCTACTCGGACTATAGGGAGAAATGTTGGATTTACAGTTCATTGATTGTGCTTGTATTAAGAGGCATATGAGATATGAGGGTGCTCATCCAAATGGAAGAATTGAATGTATTTGGCGTCCTATTATTGATGTCTTGCATATGACGCATCTAGAATCTGATATTATCATTTCATAAGCAGCAATTGAAGAAGACTATTTCATCTATTACTCTTCAGAACTGTGCATATATGTCTAGTCATTGTCTGTTCATTATGGTTTCATATGAAGTTTCTACTTTTTTTTCGCGGATTAATAACTGATATTTGTTTCCCTTTCTGCAGGGATGACTTTCCAACTACTGGACTCAAAGTTGGTGCTCTGAAATCCATTAGGTTCTTGCATATTTGTGTGTGCTTAGTTTTTGTGAATCGGTTCTTCGGAAAAGTTGGTTGATATTTGCTGCTCGGATGGAAACGAAAAACAAAAAATGCTATTTGGATGGTGAAAATTATGTGTTTTTTTTTTTGTGGTGTACCCTTGTAAAGGGCTTCCATTATTAATTAGTATGTAGAGGAATGAACATGGTTCTGTGAATGCAATGGTTTCGAGTATCGTTCAGTCGATGGCTTGTGAGTACATTGGGCTTTTGTTAATCTACTGTTAGTAATTCTTGTTCACATCAATGCCATTAGGTTGCAAGCGACAGAAATTGTTCTCAATCGCTTGTTCTAATGCCGGTCCTCTGCACAGAAGAATTAAAGGACATGATCTCAATCACTTTTTGATGTTTTGTGAATGATAGTATTTTATACATGGTAGTTGTAGTTACTAAACTTTAATATCCACCACCAGTTCTCATTTTTATGGTACAGAACTTCCCAAATGATGTTAGTGATGAAGTATAGTAGAATCACATTCGAGTTACAACTTACAATGAACTCTCATTAACAAATCACTACATACTGAAAAAGGGAACGAAAGTACAATCCAAAAAAATTATTATTTAAGTAGCAATGAAGTTTGAGTTAATATACGCGAATTATTGTTTCACTTGTGACATGCATCACGCCATCACATGCATTGTAGAATTTTTTGTGTTCGTTTTGTCGTAGTTTATCATATATTTTTGCTCATTTTATTGAATTATTATTATTTTTGCGGAACGATAGACGCACTCGCTGCATCCGGAATAGGCTGGACGAACGATGTCGTCGAACACCGAGCCAATTGCTACTCCACCAAAGGGCCTGTTGATGTGCATCTGAGATAGACTCCGACACGAAAAGGTTCAATATATCTTGGAAGGGTACGTGCAAGCACCCAATGTATCTCAACACCAGCTGATCTGTCGTCTCGCGAAATCCACGTGTGTGAGAAATTGATAGTCCTTGATATATTCGTTAACTGAACGAGTACCTTGATGAGGATTCTGATAGGTGTGCGAACAAGTGATAAGAAAAAACTCTGCTCCATTTGCTTGCGAAATTTTTCCTAAGTAGTCAACTTCAGCGTTCCGAGTAGGTGACGCGCCGCATTAACCTACTGCCTCCAGACGGCAGCTCGACCACGCAACAGCGTAGTGACGAGCGATGCGTCTGCAAATTTCGGGATCTCGGCCTAGAATGAAGCTTCCCATCGCGTCAGTGAAGAAGCCCTCATACCAAAAGGATTACTTCGGAGACGGTGTCTTAATAATCATCGTTCTCGAAGAACAATAGAGGCAAAAGACCGCGTCCACCGTGCACCTTCTCGCGGCCGCCACGTACTCTGTCCGGTGCGTAGTTCGTCCGATCACCATAGTCAGTGGCGGCATGAGCCAACTTGAATTTCTTGAACGTCGTGCTCAGCTTTGCGACTTGGCTGCTCAATGCGTCGATCGCGTCGTCGCGCCTGGCGTCCGCAACGTTGTTTTCTTTGGGCGGCATAACGTAGGAATCGTACCGGTTTGCTGATACCAACTGACGTAGCGAAAAAGTAAAAATAATAGAAGAATTGTGTGAGAACTCTCGTATTTTCTTAATTCAATCAGAATCAATCAGCCAAAAACATTAGAATATGAGTCTTAAATAGACCTTCTAAGAACACTAACGAAATATCTTACCAATCAAGTAAATGATTAAAATAATTAATTATTTTTCCCACCAAATTTAGAATTAACATAGTGATAACATAATAAAATAAAATAAATTAATTAGACTAATGATGTCAAACGATCATGTTTGTCCAGAAAGGTCCGCCTCCATCACTAAACCTCATTATTTTACATTCAATTAAAATAATTGTACGTCAGTCTCAAACGTGTACTCTTCATCTTCGTTTCTTGAATTCATAACACATTGGTCAAACACAAGAGTACTTTGTCATCCTTAAGAATGTTGCGTCATTACTCATTAGTTATTTTGTTGTCACTGTGGGGAGTTGTAATAACTAAACACATAGGAAAGTTTAAAAAAATTGTTCATATATTAAATTAAATTTTTTAAATTATAAATTATACGACTTGTTTTTTTTTTCGATGCAATAAAGGAGGTTAAAAGCCTAGAAGAATCGATTAAGCTAGAACGCGCCGATAATAAGAGACCCCCATAAGGTCGTGGTCAAGCCAGGTCTTAAGCCAACTGGAATAATGATTCGTGTTTGAAGTGGCAAAGGTGGAATTTTGACAATTCTTCTTATCTATGAATCTTAGTCCACATTCTAACCACAACATAGTACATATATTCACAAGCTATCATTCCCAAATAAATAAATAAATAAATAAATAAATAAAATAAATAAATAGATACTTTTTATATATGAGTATCAATCAAAATTCTAACCACAAAATATGGTGGTTGCAAAAAATTGAATTATAAATTATACTATCTACTCCCTTATTCCCATTATTCTATGAAAATATATAATATATTATAAAAATTCAACAAGATTGACAATTAAATACTTTCAATATATATGCATATTTTTAAATTAGAATGTTATTTTCTTAAAATATAATAATATACATAAAAAAATATAATATTTCATAATAAGAATATTTATTCATATTCAAAAAAATCCAAACAAGAACATACAAAAATTTATGTTGAAAATTGTGTTTGATTAGATAGAGAGACAATAGCCAGAAAGACAGATACACTATTATTATTATCCAATAAAAGACACACAACACACAGTTCCTAATTTATGCACCTAATTTCCCCCCATTCATTTTTTTTTAATTTTTTTTTATTTTTTTATTTTATGTGGAAACCCTCAAAAGGTACCACAATTTGTACAAAATTCTGACATGCCCATTTGTGTCACTGCTGCCAAGCTCCTATATAATTAATTAAACAAAAAATTAATAAAAAGTAGGGGTGAACAACGGTGCAGTTTGGTGAAAAACCGCATGAGATAAAAACGAACCTAGCAAAAAAAATAATCAAACCGCACCACAACATAGAAAAAAATCGAACCGATCTTTTTTTACAATAAAATAACCGATCCGAACCGCAACGAAATGCACGGTTCGGTTCGATTTTCGATTTTACACTGATTTTTCTATATATTTTATGCAATTTGGTGCGATTCTGGTTCGGTGCAAAATCGAACGAACCGAAAAAAATCGAAAACCGAATTTATGAAAAACTATAACCGCACACGCAATGTAGGAAAAAACCGAATCGAAACCAAACAAAAAAATTTTTACATTAAAAAAATCGAACCGAACCGCACCGAATTTGCACGGTTCGTTTTTTTCGATTTTCGACTCGATTTTGCTCACCCCATTAAAAAGAATTAATTTTTATTAAAAGGTAATTAAATATAACAATGCTCTGTTGGTCCCCTTTGTAGCAAGCTGTTTCAGGCCTGTCCTGTCTTAGGAAAAAAAAAAAAAAAAATTTACACAAATACATTTGGATCCATAAAATTGCATATATACATACACAATACACATGTTATGTCTGCTCCACACGCTCATCTGTAGAAGAAAGATCAATCAGTGCGTGTTCTCTGTGTGTGTGTGTGTGTGTGGTGTTCGTTTCGCAGCTCGTGAGGTGATAATAGAAAGTGAACAAAACCTTAATAAAAGGAAAAAAAAAATCAAGAAAGAATCAAAGAGGGGCAGAGGTATTGTGAGCTGCTGAGAAAGAGAGAGAAAAAAAAAGGCCCTTTTGCCCTTTTGCAGTTCAACTGGAATCTCCAAGGTCTGTTGAGGAAAACAGTAAAAAATTGTTTACATGATTTTTTTTTTT